TGTCACTCTGCGTCTACACGGACTGTCACTCTGCGTCTACACGGACTGTCACTCTGCGTCTACACAGATGAGGCCAACCAAGCATTCTCAAGGCCTCCACCTCTGACAGTCCACACCCTCAGCCACCGACCTGCCACGTTCTCACTCTCGCCTTTGTTTTCTCTGTGTCATTGCCACCTGGTCTCTAAACTTGGAGGCCGCACCGTCGATGCGCATGTCTCTTTCCAATAATTACGCCCCCAACTACTATCAAATGTTAACCAAATTTGTGACGTAAATCTAACTTGGAAAGACTTGGGGGTTTTCTGAGTTGTTTCGTTCTTTTCCTTTTTTTAAAAAAAGCCACTTCCTGGGAGAATTACTTGATCTCATTCTGAGGAAAACAAATACCAGGACAGCAAGGGTATTGAAGGTCAGAATTAATATGCTTTTACTAATTAGTCTATCTGTAGAAGTTCGCCCTGCTTGCACCGTCTCTATAACTGCTTATAATCAGCTTTCCTGTAATGAAGTGCTTAAGTGCCCCAATTCACTAAAAATAACAAAAATAATAATAAAGCAAGAATATACTATAAAGTCACAGCAATAAAATAGGCGCTTTTAAAGAATATTGATTTTATGGGGATTGCATTTCTCTTTTCCTGCCTTGATAATTAATCATGTGTTGTTTCCTAAAGCATTTTGCAGCTTAGGTGTTTTGGGGAAGGTGAACCTTACAAGACAAAAATGAATGACAATCTCTTGGTGTCCTTGAACAGTTTTATTATGGAGAAGCTGCACGGAGTTCTCATCTGTGCGACACTCAACTCCAGTAATCACATCTCTCGTGAAGACAAATAAAAGGGAATTGCATGCAGGTGCGCATGTGCGTGCAGTTCCCCCGCGACTGCTGCAAAGACCTCCCCACGGCAGCCCCTGCTTTCCCGGCAGGGTCACCGGCGGAGGGAGCTCAAAAGGCTGCTGTGATTGGCACCCGAGCACTACAATACGCAGCCTCCCTCCAACGATCATGGGCCCGCTTTTGCTAATAGGACAAGAAAAAGAAAAAGAAAAAAAGAAAAGCAACAAGGAGAGAAAGGGACACCTTTGGAATGCCAATTGGAGCGGGACTTCAGTTGCTGTTTACCAGATTCCATTTGGACACAGCACTGTATGGGAAGAGCCAAACTATAAATCAAATGGATTCACGCTGTACTGCTGAAAAAAAGAACATGCACGTCCTTGCTCTGTCGCTGTCGCTGTCTCTGTCTCTGTCTCGGTCGTCTCTCTGTCTCAGTCTCTCTGTCTCTCTCTGTCTCTGTCTCTCTCTTGCTGTCTCTCTCTCTTAGTTAACTCATGCGATGTGAACTAATCCCTTCTCTCTCTCCCTCCCTCTCTCTCCCTCTCCCCCCACTCCCCCTCTCCCTCTATCCCCCTTCTCCCCCCTGCCCAGCCAGTGCGGCTCTGTTTGCTGTTGCCACTTTGGAAGAAGAGATACTGCTTACCCCACAGCAGGAGCATAAAACTATGAGTTAAATGGGCAACAGCTGACAGCCCAAGTTTCCTGGGTATGAAGTTGTCAGCGGAGCATGCAGGGTGGGAAGCTCATCCCGTGGGCTATGGGGCTCCCCAGCTCCTCACACGCGGCGCAGAGCTAGGACAGTCCGTGCATACATGACTTACATCTACATTATGACATAAATGACTGATACGGTGATAGAGCCAACCTGCAGAGAGATGGTTGAAAGAACACTTGCATCAGAAAAAAAAGGCGCAGACAGAAAGTTTTATCTGATTCATTTACACACTGCTCGAAGTAGAAATTTACAGAATCCATCCACGATACTAATTTTAATAGCAACCTTTAGACATACATTTGCATGCTTGGGTTGTTCTTATATTGTACAAAGTAAAAATATTTGGAGAAGATGTGAAAAGTAGAGGAGGTTACATAAGAGATTCATATATTGCAATAACGAGATATTTTATGCTAGACTTTCAACACCTTGCTCATGAGCATGGAATGTGTTATGAATGCATTTACAAATCCTATCACCCATGTGTAAAATCTGAGTTACTTTTCATATATAAAAATACACATTACCATATATTTGTCTTCATGTGTTAACTGGTATTTCCATTTTTATTTCAGGAATCATTTTAGTTAACTCATGAGATGTGAAATTAATCCTTCAAAATAAAGAACTGGATATTTATTCTTAAAATTATTAATTTTCCATATACAATTCATCACACTGGAAATTTCTAGGATTTGCTTATTAAATTTCACAGTACCATTTCTCAGAATATACAGGAAAGGTGAGTCAAAGCTACAGCTTCACACACGTAATCTAGCTCCTAGGAATGTTCTGGAATTAATTGCTATGAGAAAACAACCCCAGCCCCGAATGTCTTTAGTGATACAAATAAGAAATAATATGCAAAATAAATAAATAGTGCTAACGCTGCTTACCGCCTATTACCTCTAAATGAAAGTGACACCGAGCACACAGAGCTTAGCAGTCCCTGGTACGTGATATTTGGGTAACAGTCGTTTCCCCTGCTGTCCATAGCTTTAGCTTTCATACTATCATTCAGTAACTTACAAAGAACTGTCACAAGTCTCCCTCCCTTTCAGTGGCAGAGCTCAGGAGCTGACTGAGGAGGTCCTATCTCCTGATTGAGCCCTGAAGTTCAGTAGCTGGGGCATGTGGACGAGCCTCCCCCATCGCCCCGCAACCAGAGCGGCTTTGCCTCCCAGCTCTGATGGTGAAAACATCCACTGGGCATATCTGAGGAGTGGAATGAGTGTGTGCCCAAAGAAAGACATTGGAGGCTAGCTAGATATTTGGTTCTCGAGGGGGAAAAATGCATCTTTGCAGAAAAGAGTTAAGTTCGTTTCAAAAACCTGTCCAAGCTCATGAGTGAAGTAAATTTAGTGAACTCATGCTGTCTTGAGACAGTCACTTTACCTACTCTGTCTAGTAAACCAAAAGACTTGTCTGTACCCTGATGCAGACCTAGTTGTTTGAAAGTTAAAAGAAGCTTAAAAATATGGCCCAGAACCAATCAAGAGGGATCCAATCAGAATGCACCCGGACACACAGGGCTGATCTTCCAGGAAGCACCAACGAAGCCCTCAGAGTCCTTTGGTGCAAACTGCACCTCCCTGCCTCATCCTCCCAGTGACATGGCTCTGAGCACGTTTCCCCTGCAGCTGGAAGCTTTGTTCCAGACAGAAGGAGCCGGCTTCAGAGGCCGCTGTTATGGCTTCACTTTTTTAAACAGAAATTTGGAAAACTTCCCAGACATTACACCTGCCCCAGCCCTTGCACCTTGGTGCGCAAGGCTGGCCAGCGAGATGGCAAGCAGGAGTCAATTTATTAGTGGTGGACGGGCCTCTCTGTCTTTCCCATGGCAACAGCAGGTGAGCCCAGCAAAGGCCTGTCCGCCAGCCAGCAAAGCTCAAGCCCACTTCCTCCCGGCAGCCTGGCCTGGTGGGCAGAAACAAATGCCATGTCCTGGAAGAAAGTACATAGAGCCAGTGCTGGACCAGGCGGGTAGCTTCTACGTCCATTGGAGAAAAACAAAATTGCAGTTATCTTTGCATTCGTTTTTCTTACCTTTAATATTATGAAAGGAAATGGAGAATTTAAGGGAATTCAATGGATCATTTTGTAACAGTGATGGTTTTGACACACTAGGGAAACAGGCAAGCATGCATTTATCTCCACAGATCTCAGCTAGCATATAATTGATTCATTACAAATATACATCAGCAGCCAACCTCCTGAGAGAGTAAGGTACTTGCTAATTTAGGTAAAAATAAAACAGCGATATTTAAACTGTGTTTTAGAGCTCAAATTCCATTTCATAATTCTCACTTATGCAATATTTTCAAGAGATATTTGCTCCAAAATTACTTTCTCTGGGATTAAATGCGTATTTTTGAGCTTATAACGTGTATCTTTTCACTTTCCTTTGCCTATGACTCAAAGTTTTCCTGAGTCAGGCTTTTCCTTTACTTCCTTACCCCTCATACTATAGAAGAAAGGCCTGGGGAATTCTCTGACAGGTCCTCCACCGAGGAAAAGCCAGCCTCTGTCTTCTGCAGTCTAAGCGTGCATGTCTCCTTATCCTGGTTGTTTTTAAACAGGATGATGGACCTTGTACCAGGAAGAGTGACAGTGACGTAGAGTCTTTCTGAAACAGTGTGGTTAACAGTCGTACCTCACAGAGCCCACAGGACGCACAGAGCTATCACAATCGCAGGACAGCCAGCAGGGTCAGCCAAGGAGGCAGGGTCACCCACTTCCACGGGCAAATTTCCTCTTAGTTATAATTGTGATAGGATTTTTTTTTTTGCATGGACTTCTGTTTCTTTAAATATTATATTAAACTCTTACTTACACTGACCTTGAGATTTTTAGTGCCTTTAAATTTTATGCTTGAGGCAAAACATGGAGCCTTCATTGCATTGTCCTGGCTCAGCAAAGTTTGTTTGTCTTGAAATTAGCTTGCCCTATAATGCTATCTATGAAATATGGGGTATTGGTAGCTGTTGCACTAAAAAAAGGAAAAAATGGAATCAAAGCATCAGACAGCCGTAGGAATGGGTAATCGCATAAGGTCGCGTGGTATTGCTGTAATTCTTAGTTTTCAAGGCCTCATGCACTGAGAAGCAGAGAAAGCTCTAGACACAGCTTAGACTCATGTGACCATGGCCCTGGTGACTGCTATTCTGGGAAGCCTGCTCTACCACGCAGTGTCTCAGGGCTGTCTGCACTTTGATCCAACGCGCCTGCCTTACCACGCCTTTTGCCTTTACTCACCCCACTCCCCCCCGCCAGAATACTAAAAAGACAGACATGTTGATGCAATCAGGCTATAGTTATAAAAGGAATGAATTTGTATTTTTATAAATAGACATCTGGTAATAAAACATTTAAAGGAACATCAAAATCACAGAACACCTTGCAGCTTAGCGCCTCTTAAATGAAACAGCATCAAAACACACTTACCAGTGAAGTCCGTACCAACTGGGTGAGTGGTGCTGGGAAATTTATAATACCCATTTCCTGTGAAACGAGTTCCTCTTGTCACAGTGGCCATCGGAGCTGAGAGAGGCAACTCCCTCCTTTCCAGTTGGTACAGAGGTGAGGGCCCGTTGACTTCTTCAGGCGGAACCCACGTCAGATGGATGGCAGTGCTGTTGATTCCTTTAGCCAGAGGAGGCCTCAGGTGGGTGGGTGCTAAATATGAGAAAGCACTGGTGACATTCCAGGACTCTGCACACACAGTCACTTAGCCACTCGTGCACAACACAACACAATCGAAATCAGATCTTGGGAGGTTATGAGGATTTCTATGATTCTAAGAACTGAAACCTTATAGTTTATCTCAAACAAAATGTAAATACCTAACAACTACTTACTGCAGGACTCTCACAATGAAATGTTTTCTTTGAAATAATTTATCGGTGTTTCTTGCTGAGTAACTGGCAGTGTATGTCATAGTCCCCACTGTTGGTGCTCCCCCCGAAATCTCTTCACCAAGGCACACGGGGGCCTATGCTCCTGTCCCGGCAGCCACTGGTGGCTCACTAGCTGCCTTCTCGGCCCCTCAGCTGAGGAGAAACTGCCACACTCAGAGCTGCGGAATCCCCAGCAAAGCCTGCAGGCAATGGTCAACGCTGACTGCAGAGTGAGAAGCCCACCTCCTAAACATGGCAATGGCTTGCACAGCCCTCCACAGGGCTGAGCATGGAACAGAAGTGACTGAAGTGGGCTGCCTGGGGGAAGAAGAGGGAGTGTGAGATCTGAGAAGCACTAGCTGGGCTGAACTATCACTGACACGTGCCAATCAATGGACAATTGTGAATAATGGCCTGACGTCTTTTGTATTGTCTTTAAAGTACAATCCAAAGGTCAGTTTTAGAGCTTTAATTTCTTTGGAGCAGATTTAGGTTCACAGGAAAATTGAAAGGAAGGTACAGGCTTGATCGCATGCCACGTGCCCCAACACATCCGAGGTCTTCCCCACTGTGACTGTCCCTCACCAGCAGCTGGTTTTGATGGCTGAGCCACACAGAGATCCCTTCCGCCCACAGTCTGTGGTGAGCCCTGCTGCTCACGGCCATGGTTGTGCACTCTGCAGGTTTGGTCAGATGTACAGAGACACGGGTCCACATTATCATACCCCAAGCCATAGTTTCGCTGCCCCCAAGCCTTATGGGCTTGTCGCTCCTCCCCTTCTCTAACTCCTGGGAGACACATTTCTACTGTCCTCATACTTTTGTGTTTTTTCTGGGACATCATGTAGTTGGCATCAAAAAGCAAGACCCTTTCCAAGTTGGCTTTTTACACTTGGTGATATACATGAAGACTCCTTCATAGCTTCAGAGCCTGCTTCACTTTAGCACTAAATAATGTCCCAGTAGCTGGGAGATAGCTCAGTGGCATAAGCACCTGCCTGGCAAGTGCAAAGCCCTGAGTTTGATCCCCCGCAAAGTAAAATTGTACTCCGTTGTTCGTATGTCCCATATTTACCCATTCACCCACTGAAGAATGCCTTGGTTGAGTCCAAGTTTTGACAATTAATAAAGCAGTTGTATAGTTTCTTTACATGCAATTTTTCATGTGGATCGAATTTTTCAACTTCCTTGGGGGAAATTCTCTATCATGGTGGGGTCATGCAGGAAAAGCATTAGAAGTTGCATGAGAAACTGCTCTCTGCCCTCTGCGGGGAGCAGCTGAGCTGGGGAGCAGAGCAAAGCCAGTCCCAGGAGCATGAAATGCCGCAGGCAGATCACATGAGTAAGTCGACCTCGAGCTGAGTAGACCGCCAGCCAGTTCCTGGCCCCTTGGCATCCTTCCTGTTGACCACAGCACACGTAGCCCTGAGAATGCTCCACTTTCAGTATTCTCAGCAAAACACTGAGGCCTTGCACTTTCAACTCTGCCACGTGCCTACCCCCTTTTCACTGTACATGAACAAAGACCCTGAGGCCACCACAGCTCTCCCAGCTCCCCATCACAGGGCCGTACCCTGCCCAGGCCTGGAGTCCTCCAGTGTGGTCGTTCGCTTTGCTTTCCCATCAGCAGTGAGTGAGGCTTCCCGCTGTTCCAAATCTTCCCCTGCACGCGGCATGGCCAGGGCTCTCTCTCCCGGCAACTCTTGGAGCTGTGCAGCGGCACCTTGTTTCTGTATGTGCTTTCTCCATTATGCACACTGTGACAGTTATTCTCATTCGCTTATTTGCCATCTCTATATCTTCTTTGGTCAAAAAGCCAGTTTTTCATGCAGTTGCATGAAGTTTTTCAGGCTTAGAACTGATTCAGATGGAAAAAACAAAATCTGTCAAAACCACCCTGTGACCCAGAGAATTCGTAGTTTAGCAGTTTACAAACTGTCGTACAGGTACAGAAGATTCTGGGCAACTTTTCAGCCCTGAGGTAGCCAGGGACACTGTGGGCCCTGCAGTGAGCAGGCCACCAGCAGTGGCCTCACACCTGGAACAACAGGTGTGCTGCAGCCTAGAGGACAAGGGAACTGGCAAGCTTCGGGATCCTGCGACAACGGGAATTCCTTGGAGAACTTAGCAAATTCCATGGATAGAGGAAATTAAGGTCTTTTGTATGATCAGGGTAACAATAATGGCGAATTAAAAATAATGGGTAATGGTGGTTAATGATGGTTACTGAAAATTATAGTTAACTTTAAAATTTTTTTTTAAATCTTTATTGATTTGATACAGGCTCTTGCTATGCAGCTCGGACTTGTATTGATCCTCCTGTCTCAGCCTCCCCAGTGCTGGGATTACGGGCATGCGCCACCGTGCCCCATTTCTGTGCTTGGCAGGCAGGCCCTGAGAGCACCAAGACATCTCCCCAGCCTCATAATTAACTTTTTATTTCACTTTTTTTTTTCATAAAAGTACGAGAACAGTTGAGTTTGTGAACCAAGATTCTCTCCCTTAGGTGTGTTGACCAGGTCTGGAAGGCGAGAATGAAGAAAGGAATGCCACCCTCACTAAGCCCGTCTACCAAGGATCCAGGCTAAGGCCGTGATTCACCCTCACTAAGCCCGTCTACCAAGGATCCAGGCTAAGGCCGTGAT